ATCTGCCACTCCCCTCTGCTCATGCTCTCTCTCTTTCTCTCTCAAATAAATAAATAAATTCTTTTAAAAAAAGAAAGAAAGAAACTGCTGATGTTTCCCCGTGGAAGGGCCCGGATTTCCACTTGAAGGAGAGCTATTTAAGACAGCAACTCAACTAAGAACTTCTACGTTAGCATTCTGTGGGCAGCAATAACTCTCCATGTGCTGTCACTGAGATTTGGGCATTGTTTGTTATAGATAAGAATTAAGTCTTTGCAATAAAACAGCTTCTCTTATCATGTAAAAAAAAAATTGGATGAATTTTTGCCAAATTTGGAAGGTACATTTAGGATACTTTGATTTCAAATATAGGCTACATAGTATAGATGAAATTTATTTTGGTGGATCCTCAGAGACATCTCAGAGTTAAGCAATCCACCTCCAGAGATACCATAAAATGTCTGTGTGGCTACTGACTAAGACAATAAGCCATACATATGAAGATGGGGTAAAAATAGGGTTTCTAATGTGATCACTAAAAGAGAAGCCACTTAGGACAGACACTTGAAGGTCACATGGTGATTTCTGATAGAATTGCTTATCACATGGGGGGCACCTGGGTGGCACAGTCCATTAAGCGTCTGACTCTTGGTTTCAGCTCAGGTCATGATCTCAGAGTTGTGAGATTGAGCCCCATGTTGGACTTTCTCTCCCTCTGCCCCTGCCCCTCTAAGTAAATAAATAAATCTTAAAAAAAAAATTGCTTATCACATAAGCAACTCTGGGTGGGTTGCACTGACATATATAACAATAACCAGGTTAATTTTTTAATGATGGGTAATGATTCTCCTCAGCAAAGCAGGAGAGGTGAGCTAGTGAAATGATATATGTAAAGTTCCTAACACCACACCTGGAACACAAACATTAGCTCCTTTTTCCTGATAGCTCACTACAACAGTTACGTGTTGTCTGTTTATCCCACATCTGGATCAGGGAATTGTGTGCAAAGATCATCCCTTCAGATCTGAAGGACCAGATACACCCAAGGCCTTGGGTAGTAGGAAATGTTTCTTAGCTTTTAAGGTTCAGGAATGCTCACTAGTGACACGGACAGAACTTGAGAAATAAGACATCTTATCAGATTGTTTAAATGACCTACAATAGTGGCTCAAAATTGATGCCACAATAGAACCTTCTTTGACTGATCAATTAGTTTAAAGCCATATGATTTTAAAAATGGGGTAGAATTTATTTAACATGCTGAAGGGCAAAGATGAGCCTTTAGTAAGTTAGTATTTACTGTATATAGTTATCTTTTGGATGTCACAGTTTGACATATGAATGATATGTCCAGATTTTTAAATTTTTGGTGACCTTTTGAATGTGAAGCCTAATTTCTCTGTTGAGCCTGAAATGTACTTAGAGACTGTCTTCCAAAGAATAAAATGTGGAGAAAGTGAAAGCATATGCCTTCTGAGATGAGAATAGAGTGACCTCCTTCTTGCTCTCTCTTGGACAGCTCGCTCTAGGGAAAGCCAGCTGCCATGTTGTGAGGACATTTAAGCAGGACTGTGGAGAGGTCCACACGATGAGGAACTGATGACTCCTAAAGACATCAAGCAAAGAATTGAGACTTTCTGTCAATAGTCATGTGAATGATCTATTACCTTGGCAGCAAGGCAACCAGCCCCAGTCAAGCCCTCAGATGACTGCAACCCTGGTTAATGTCTTGACTGCAACCTCATAAAAGACCCTTAGCCAGAACCACCCTGTGAGTTGCTCCCAGATTCCCAACCCACAGAAACATAGTGTTTCATAATGAGACAATGTTTGCTGTATTAAGCTGCTAAATTTTGAGGTAATTTGTTATGCAACAATAAGCAACTAATACAGGGACCCTTTTCCAAGATCAAGAGCATTTTAGCTGGGACTCTTTTAGGTACAAAGTAGAGCATACAGTACTGCATTTTAGTTGTGTGTGTGTGTGTGTGTGTTAACATACATGAAGTACACAACTTAAGTGTACAACTCAAGGAATTTGTACATATATATGTAACCACTACCCAGGTCAAGATATAGAACATTTCCATCACTCTAAGAAATTCCCTCATGCCCATATCCAGTTAATAATTCTTCCCAGCAGTGGCCACTTTTCTGAGTTCTATAACTATAGATTGTTGTGCATGTTACTGAAATTTATATAAATGGAATTATTCCATATGTTCTCCTTTATGCCTGGCTTCTTTCACTCAGCATAATAATTTTAAAATTTATATTGTTACATGTTTCGGTAGGTTCTTCCTTTTATTTGTGGGAAGTATTCCATTGTACAATTATGCCAAATTTATTTATTTCCCTGTTGTCAGACATTTGGATTATTTCCAATTTGAGGGTATTATGAATAAAGCTAGTAGGAATTTTCTTGTACTAGTCCCTTTGAGGACCTATGTATTCAATACTCTTGGGTAAATTCTTAGTAGTGGAATTGATGGGTCATAAGATGGGTGCTTGCTTAACTGTCAACAAGTTTCTAAAGTAGTTGGGTCATCTTACATTTCCACTCAAAGTAATTCTTTTTTTCATTTGAGGCAAACTCAGTTTGAAAAGAAAGAAAAACAAAAGTTAGTCTTGATGAAAAATGAGTGGCAATGAATAAAGAGCTTCTTAAATTATTTGGAGTAGTCAAGAAAACCATTCTACAAGGCACAGAGCTACCTGACAGCTGATCCTCCAGGCAAATACTTTTATTTTGATCATTGGTTTGTACATAATTTTAGCCACTTAAATCAAAGTTTTTCATAAAGATGATTTGACCAGGGCCCCAAATCCCGAGAGGAGAAGAATTTACATAAAGAACCCTTCAGATGAGCTTTCCGCTCTGTTAAATGGAAGAAAGAAGCATCTTCCCACATGGCACACTTGTTTACTGAGCCAGCCTAGCACCATGACAAATGAAACAACTTCTTGATGCCTAACACAGCTTGCCCCCAGGCACTGAGTCAGCTTTGTGTTTCCCATGAGTTCGGCCTCAAATAAACAGATCGGATAACTTTATTAATTATGCACTCTGGGGCATAGGGCTGTGATAGGCTCAGGCTCTGCACACAGCCCCAGTCGCCCGTCTCCAGCTTGCTCATGGCGCAGGAGGTGTCCCTCCGTCCTTTCTGGTTCTGAAACCATCCGGACACCCACAGGATTATTTTCCTCAGTTGTACAGGGCTCTGGAAGAGAAAATGAAAACTGTAAAGCCCGAATATCAAGTCCAATCTCAGCACCTTCAGGAGATGCTCAATACGATCTTTTTTTTCTATTAGGAAAATTAGACATTAGCAACCGGCAAAGATGAGAAATGGTTCAGTAAAAGCCCCTCTTCCTGGTGCAGATGACAGGGATTGTGTGTTTAAGAGCAGAGGAATGACACGGTGAGGAAATCCTGAGGCAACAGTGTGCTGAGCAAAGGTCATTCTGCACGCACAAAAGGGCCAAAACCCAGATCCAGGGCTGCATTATTTCCAGATAATTCAGGAAAGGATTGGGGCTTGGTCCTGGGCTAATTCATGAATTTTCTTATGACTTGTATTATTATAAGTGGCTTAGATGCCAGGGGGAAAGGAATAAGGAATTCCTTTTCTTCCTTTTCTTTTTCTTTCTTTCTTTCCTTTCTTCCTTTCTCTCTTTCTTTTTTAATTTATCATTGGCCAGGCACTGCACCAAGCACTTACCAAGCATGAATCAACTTAATTCCCACAACGGCTCCATGAAGTAGGTACCATTATCCCCATTCCAAAGATGGGCTTACCTCAAGGCAGGTAGATGACTTTGGAAGCTCCCCCAACTAAAAGGAGAAGGAGCAGGATTTGAACCCAGGTCTCTCTACTCCTTGCTCTAGACTTGTGGCACTTTTTACAAGTTTAAAAGGAGTTTTAAAATGGGCAGCCTCTACCCTTCACTATGGACAAGAGCTCCACGCTCAGATTGTGTAGAAGCTGTGCTTGAAAAGGAAAATACATTTTTCCCCAATGTTCTACTCCTAATGACCAAACGGCTCCCCACTGCCTAAGGTTGGCTTATTTTCCTATGAGAAAGATTTAATTAAAAGCCTCTTTCTTTAAGAGCATTGCCTCCCTGAGCCCCTCTGCTCCGCAGGGACCAGCCTTGAGCTTTATATGGCAGTGAGTTTACTCTGCTTTCCCCTCCAAACCAGGGAAGACGTCCTCCCTGCTGTCAACTCACTTTTCTAGTGTAAAGGAAAGCCACCTTGCCTTCTTTATTCCCTGTCTTATTTAGAGAAGTTCTCTAGCATTAGAGCCGTAGAGTTTGTATAAGCCACACAAACAACAACGTATTGCTTCAATTACTGTTTACTGTGTGTTTTGGGGTCTCCTTGATAATAGCAGGTTGGAGCACACTTGGCTGGGTTGCCCTTATTAAACTGTGAAGGTCGCTTCTCTGCCAGGATCTGTAGCCTGCGAGCCCTCCCTTCTCTTCCACAAATGTGTCTCTTCCAGAGCTTTTTGCAATTATGGCTCATTTCTCTAGGTTTCATACGGCAGGCGTCTGAACAGAATTAAAAGCATAAGCACGTGCAAAAATAATCCATTTCCCAAGATAGTAAATGCTGAGAAGCTCTATATTAGAACACACTGTGAGTGCTGACTGGCTAGGGCATGATTAACCTAATAGGCTTAAAGTTCCACTTGCCATCCACATCTGTCAGGACTCGAGCAGAACGCAGGCGCGTAGTGCACGAGACTGAGGTCCTTTAGAATTGCCCCATTGCTCCCTCACAGCGGAGGGTTCGAGACATAGAGCAACAAGACCACAAGCACCACTGCCTCTACACGGTGGGGCCAAGGAAGTAAAGAAAGCTGGTTCCGAGGACCCGGCGCCATGGACTTCAGAGCATTCTGGCCTGGAAATTGCCTGGACCGACTGGTAAGGCTGCCTTTGGTTCCTATTTCAAGGATGATTCTCTGAAAATCGTGAAGACTATGGGTGGGAGATAACTACAAGCTGGCATCATGGGGTGTACACCTTCCCACAATGACGTTGTTAATAGCGTTGCTAAGAGTGGCATCCAGTTTTTTAAAAAGCCCAAAGCAATTTTGCCGGGACGTCAAGGGGGCGGTGGAAGATGCTCCATCCCTTTGCTACTTCCAAGCTCCACCTGCTATGACTCTGGGGGAGACCCGACCCAGGGACAGAGGCTGACAGAGGAGCAGCCGAGGGCCAGGTGGACCCAAAGCCCAGCTGAAGGTCTCTATCAGCTCACAAGAGATCCCACTGCAGGCAAAGGGAAAGATATGGAAGGACTGCCCCCAGAAACCAGAATCTCCGCATCCCAGCTGGACAAATCACAAAGCCACATGGCTCAGGACCTTCCATCCAAGACACAGAGCTCCCACGGGTCACAGGGGACAGTCTCTTCTGGGGAAGAGAGTGAAGAAAGGAATACCCAGCAAAGGAAGCTGAGATGCCACACGTGTGGCCAACAGGGCCATTGCTGCCAGACCATCCTTCCTGCTCACGAGCCTGAAGGCAAAGTGGATTTCCCTGAGCCCCTGGTGAAGGCCCACCGGCACGCCTACACCTACCTCCACACCTGCATCTCCAAATATGAAGCAATCCTGTCCATCACCCATCAGGCCACCCAGACCCAAGAGCTGCTGCAGCCCATGGTCAGCTTCCTGCTGCTATGCTTTGATGAGGTCAACCGGCTCTTGGGGGAGATCTCCAAGGAGGGAGAAATGCTCCTCCAGGAAGTTCGGGACGATCTGGCTTGGCCGTTGAGGAAAGGAGAGCCTCAGGACCAGCCAGATCTCCTGCAACAGCTTCTGCAGTACACAGTCAGCAAGCTGCTGGTGCTCAGTGGCACGGTGGCCTCGATCACTGGCCGCTTCCTGGAGGGCTCCAGCAGTTACCACCATGACACCGCGAGCCACTTGGGAAAGAAGCTGAGCACAAAGAGGGGTGTGGATGAACGCCTCCTGCGGGCTCTGGGGCAACTGGAGAACTTGGCGAGTGGCCACGGGGACCCTGGGATGCAGGGTGCGCCCTTGTGCTCCGAGGACAGTGGCATTGGTGGGGACAACGACTCTGTGCAGCTGGTGGACAAGCTGGGCAAGCAAGCCAGCTGGGACTCGGTGTCGGAGCCCGCAGAACGGAAGCTGGTGCTTTCATCCACGGTGGAAGCCAGGCTGTCAGGACAGGCCTGGCAGCAAAGTCCTTTCCAGATGGGTTCAGACACACCCCAGGACTGCCCCCTCTGGAGGCCTCCATCGGCAAAGGTTCGGCCCGCGGCACAGGGTGGAGCAGGGGGCCCTTGCCCCTCGAGCACAGGCCCAGAAACTACGACCGCCAGGCCTTTGGGGATGGGCAAAAGCACTCGGTGTGATTCCCTTGGGATGGGGGTCTCCACAGAAGCACATTTTCCTAAAGGCTCCCGCTTGGTGGACACTCCTTCCGTCACTGAAGGGGAGGACAGTAGCCCAGAGGAGGAGGAGGACCAGGTGAGTGGCATGAGTCTGGGTCCACAGCAGGAAAACTCTTTCCCTCCAAGGCCGCGCTCTTCACCTGGTGGCCCGGAAGGCCCATTTCAGCCACACCCCAGGAAGCTCAGGAAGCCCCAAGCCCAGGAAATGATTCTGAAGATGAAGGAAGCAATCAGCGAAAGGATCAAGTTTGTCCCTGTGCCTTCTGGGCCCCAGGACTGGGCCGACGAGGACGAGAGGAGGACGGCGGTCCCCCCGAGACCCAGCACAGCCAGCGGCAGCACCAGGGCCCCTCTGAGGCAGAGGAGGTCCCAGTCAGAGGGGTGTCTGAAGAGCCAAGTGGAGGACTCCACCCTCCAGGAGCTGCAGAGGGTCCAGAGAGACCTGAGCCGGAGGCTGGAGGCATTTTACGCCCTGGGTGCGCGACAGCAGGGGCAGAGCCCGGAGCAGGTTGCGCAGCCCCGCGCCGTGGCTTGGAGGTCCGACACCTGCGGGAGCGCGCCGAGCATCACCAGCAGCAAGCTGAAGGCATCCCTCACCAAGAACTTCGTCATTTTACCGAGTCAGGACAAGAGCATCGTGCAGAAATGCAGTCCCCGCCCTGAGAGCGAACAGCCCCGGCAGGGGGAGCCTGAGGGGCTGCCAGTCGTCATCCCATCGGGTGAGAAGACCAGTGAGGCTCGGGGGGCCGAGGACTGGAATGTCAGGGCCTGTCCCACCAGAACATCGGTCAAGAAACTCATTGAAACTTTTAGTCCCACTGAGAGTCTGAGGACCCTGGGAGATTCCAAGGACGCCAGGCCAAGCCCCTGCCTCAGGAAGTGGGGGGTCCCCCTCATACCCCCCAGATTTCCCATTTATAGGGGGCTTGCCCCTTTGTATCCAAAGCCCCGAATTTCTCCAGCAGCGAGTGGAGAATCTCTCAAGCTGGGCCCAGCCTGGAGGCCCTTAGCTCCTATTTTCCCCCCTCTGCTGACAGCAGGAGCGTCCAAGAGGGAGGACCTCAATTTCAACTATGAAACAGAAGAGGACCCAGAGCATCTGCCTCCACCGCCTCTGGAAATCCTGATGGACAAATCGTTCACCTCTCTGGAGCCCCCAGAGAGCAGCAAGCCAGCAGGAAGCTCCTCCAACGGGACCCATGCACCAGGGCCGGGAGGGGCTGACCCTGCCCTGAGAACGTGGGCTTCCCCAAAGCTAAGAGCCTCCATGAGCCCCACTGACCTGCTACCCAGCAAGAGCACGACTGCCCCCACCAGGCCCCACAGCACAGGGCCAGGGGGCAGCAAGAGTGGCTGCAGTACCAGAAAGCTCACCTTGGACCTGAGCCACCCACCAGCAACCAGCGGAAACCCAGAGGTGGAGGGCAGAGGGGCTCAGAGTCAGGCACCCGCAGACAGGGCCACCAGCCTGTCCAAGCATCCCCAGAAGGCCATCCCCTGGCACCCCTCCAGCCACACATCTGGGCCGAACAGCACCTTGGAACCCAGCCTGGCCAGGCCAACACGAGGGCCACATTCTCCCGAGGACCCCAGGCAGAGCCAGGAGAGAAGCCCCTCGCTGGTCAGGAAGGCCTCTGCCGCAAGGGGACACTGGACAGCCCGAGCGGACAGGAGGCAGCTCCCCTCTCACAGATCTGCCCAGCCAAGCGTCCCCTCCGTGCACGGCTCCCCCAGCCCACCCATCAGCCCTCCGGTAAGCCCCACGGTGCTCAGCCCCCCAGAGACGAAGGAAGGAGCCTCGCCCCCACCCTGGCACAAGCCGCCCAGCACTGCCCCCGCGAGCCCACCCGCACAGCACAAGGCCTCCAGCCCCCCTACCCGGCACACAGAAGCGAGTTCCCCTTCCTCTGGCCCCTCCCCGTCCCCCCCAGTGTCCCCTGCTCAGGGGCCCCAGCAAACAAGAGACCCTGAGGACAGTCGGGCAGCCACAGCTAAAGCATGTGGGAACACGTGTTCCATATTCTGCCCGGCCACCTCCTCTCTGTTTGAAGCTGCCCCGCCCCCTTCAGCAGCCCACCCACGCACCCCAGCCTCGCTGCCCCCTGAAGCCGGCGGCCCTCGGGGGACCCCCGCAGGAGGCTGGAGGAGCTCGGGGCCACGGCTGAGGGCGGGCTCCCAGCGGGGCCCGGCTCTGTGTGCCCTCAACCCTCAGCCTTTCATCAGAAGGACGGCTTCTGACCGCCGGCCGAGTATCCGCCTCGGGCTGCCTGTCCCCGGTGCCACCTGCGACGCTTGGGAATCCGCACTCAGCAGGAGCAGGTAAGGAGGGTCCTCGGGCCACCGCCCTGCGCTAATCCAATAGAGCCCAGAGGCCCTTGGGGTCCAAGGGAAGAGGCAGAGGAAAAGGGGGCTGAGGGATATCCAGCCTCCCGCCCTGGGACCCATCCTTGAGCAGCTGTGCTTTCATCTGTCACTCATTTCAGGTTCCCGAGAAAGATTTTAATTGAAAGAAGCTCTGCTGTGTTAAAAAATAGAGTTTAAAACAATCACATTAATCCAAGCACACCCTCCCCTTTATTTTACACCTGAGGAAAAAGAGATGACGTGACTACCCACCCCCTCCACCCCATGCTGAGCCACTGTCACACGGTCTGGAACCAGCAGCCGGATTTCTGTTCTCTCTGGTTTACTGAGGTTCTCAAACTTTCTGGCCCCAGGACCCCTTTAAAACTCTTCAGAATTATGGAGAACCCAAAAGAACCTTTGTGCAGGCGGGTTCTATCTATCACTTTTTACTGTATTATACATCAAAATTGAGAAATATTTAAAATACTTATTAGTTTTTCTCAATGACCCCATTATACATTACCATTAAAAGTAGGTATATTGTCCACAACAAAAACATTTAGTGGAAAGAGTGGCATTGTCTTATATTTTTGCAAATTCCTTTCATGTCTGGCTTCCAGGAAAGATGGTGGCCTTCTCAGACCTGCTTCGGTAGTGCATCTGGTGGGACATCACACAAGACGTAGACTGGGAAAGTCCACTCTACATTCATGAAAGAATGAGTGGAAAAGGCAAATAACATCTTGACAGTATTTTGAAAATAGTTTTGACTTCATAGATCCCCCTCAAAAGTGTCTCGGGGACACCCAGGGGACATACCTTGAGACGACTGGTCCTAGAGGTATGGACTATAAATGTTTAGCTTTCCCACACCCCCAAAGACCTGCCTCCACTTCTCTTCCATTCTAGCCTCACCTCCATCTACCCGATTGGAGGTGTGCAGAGCAAGAACAAGACCCTTCATGGGCACCGAGTACCAGAATCAGGTGGAAGGATGGCCATCAATACCCTTGGCAGACCGAGTTCCAAGTGCGCCTTTCTTGAGAGGGCAGCTGACTTACAGGTCATTGGCCCAGCCATGTAGGCAGGCCTGGGCATGAGATGGCAATAGGTCAGGAGGCATGGTAGAGCCATTGCCTGAACATGGAAAGAAAGACACATATGCCCAAGTGGGTAGAACACATGGGGAAATGCATCTTCTCCAGGATGCAGCATGGGCAGAAAACTGTCTATCTGAGACCCTGTTGGAGAAGAGCTCTTATCAATGTGTCTTGATACCAGATGGGACAAAGCTAACCAGCACAGTCCTTGCTGTCTTCGAAATGCCCACTGTTGAGTCAATCAGCAGTTTATTTCGGCCAGAGCGATACATGTTACAGACTTCACAATCTGTGGAGGCATAAATGGTAATTTTTTACAAAGTACTCGGCAGTCGATTTTAAATAAAATTATCTAGGGAAAGTTGTGCATTATTATAGTTATATAAACTTCCCCAGCCACTTGAAAGAAATGAAGTATTGATTATTTTTGCAAGAATCTTAATGTAATGCTGCTCTTTTCTTAAATCTAAAATGAGTTTCCTACAGCACAGTGCTTTTCATCTAAGAACCTCGATAAATGTTAATGCATTACCCCTCACACTAGCCACTTATTCTCTTATTACATTTCTAAAACTGTGCCCTTCAGGAGAAGAGCTTGGGAGAACAGGGACAATAAAATGGCATTAATTAAAAACACTAACATTTTAAAACAGCAGGAGCAATAATAAAGTAACATAAAATTGTTCAAGAGGAAAATAATGCCCTTCTCTCAGGCTTCTCCACAGAATAGGGCAGCCTAAAAGGTTGTTTTATGTCCTGAATCTCAATACTTAGGGAGATGGGCTGGGGGGGTGGGGAGAAGTGCTTGTAGCTTGAAAGAAAGGAGGATTCATAAACGGGAGACTTCCCAAGGTTGCGTGGAAGGTCGCAATAATGGCTCACACTCCTTTCCCTGCCTCCTGGTAAGACCACACCTCCGAGCCACTCGGAACTGAAACTGTGAGCATGTGCCGGATGTGATGGGAAAATGCTCATCCCCCATTCCCTCCACCCCTCCACCCCTGTAAAGCTGACATCTGAGAGCAGAAGCATGCCAGCTAGAAAAGCGCTCTTTCCCCACCCTGTTCCCTGCCCTCCTGCATACGGGAAACCAGACCAAGGAAGTAGGCAGGATTTGCCTGAGATCATGCAACTAGCCAACAAGCCAGTGCCAGAGAGCTGGAAAGACTCAGAACGGGCTGTTTCCCCAAGCAGGGACTTGCAGGAATGCAACCCACCGCATGGTAGGTAGCGGCAGAGACAGGATGACCTGGCCTAACCTGGTATTGACCTACTTCTCGTCATCCCATGCCGGGCACAAGCCCCTTTTATAGAAAAAATGATGATGTTTATATCCTCCCGATCTTGGGGCCCAGGGGATTGGGGACGGTCCTTGGAGGCTCACCTAGGAAGCTCAGTTACAACAATCTCAATTACAGCTTCAACTGTTATTTATGTTTTGAATCCCCTGGCGGAGGTGCCGTCTCTAGGTCTTAGCACGCTGCGGCGCTGTGAACATTCAAGAAAGGGTCCAGATTTTCTCCCCTAAATACAGTGCTTTTAGTCTTTGCTTAGACTGGACCACCCAGGCAGGGGCTCTCTGCCGCCCAATCCCCCAACCCTATTTCCCAGATCAGGGTCCCAACCGACCAGCGGGGCAGCGCCTGGCCAGCCTGCCTCCCCAGCCATTCTGGGATCAGGCGGAACCACGGCCACATCGTGGCAACCAGGCAAATCTCCCTCCTAGCCTGAGCCTCACACAGGTGTGGAACCTGGTTGGGGTCGGGGAAGACACGGTTCTAGGACAAAATCGTTTTCACCTCCACTGACACCGCACGCCAGGCATGCCCCTCCCTTTCCTGCTAGCTACTCCAGTCGGGGAGCAGCAAAGGGTCCCAGGGGAGGTGCATCCTGCACATGCCTTTCCCTGCTCTAAAAGGGGCACAGGGAGAAGAAGCAAGGAAGGTGGGAGCTGGTCCTGCGCACAAAATCACACTTGATCACGCAGGGCCTGGGAACTGGGCCCGAGGCCCGAGGCCAGCGTGGGTGAGGCTGGCTCAAAGGAACACAGTACGATTCTCACAGCCTAAAAATCACGTGTATGCCCATCTTACTTCCTCACTTAGTTCCGCACCTCACCCCACATTCCGGCCACCTTCATCTGAGTGGGATCCAGACTCAAACTTGCCCTCCACCGGTTCAACATCTCACGGAAGCCTAACCACTGAGCCGAGCACGCTGCGGAATAAAGCTCAGGGCATGGTTAAGAACCTGCTGTCAGAGGCAGAGAGAAGGACCTTCTGGGTCTCTGCACATGCGAGCTGGGTCCAGTCCTGGACCTGAGGTGACTGATGGCGAGGCTTGACCCTCAGGTGCCTACCTGTCATGTGACAGGGTGGTCCCTAGTTTCCTTTCCAGGCGTGACTTCCTGTTCATGCTACGAAGCAGGACCAGCATGACAGCTGGTCGTTTACTGAGCGCTTATCATGTGCTGGTTCGTATGCGAAGAGTTTACTTTGCACGCCTCACCCAGTATTGATACCTTCGAGCGCCCTGTGAGATGCGTGCTATCATCATCTCCGTTCTACAAAGAAGGGAACTGGGAATCAGAGAGATTAATGAATGTGCTACAGGACACACAGCTAGTTAGCGCAGGACTCGAACCCAGACAGCCGGATTCCCACGTCCAGGCAGTAAGGATGAGGCCAGCCCGCCAGCACACAGCCCGTGTGGCTTCCGGAGCTGGTCCCCTTTCTGGCCTGAGCTTCCTCCACGCTTGTGATCCTCCTCCATTCTGCACCCCCAATGCACACTGGGTGTCCCTCTCCCCTCAAAGGCCCTCTCGCTATGTCACTCAGCAGCTGGGAGGCTCTGTTCTAGCCAAATGCCAGGCTTGGGCCAAGCACTTGGCATTTTACTCTGTTCAGGAAAAGGGTGGCTGCTGAGCAAAGCAGGGTGTGGTGGGGTTTTGTTTTTTGGGTTTTTTTTTAGGCTAGCTAAGCCTAGCCCTTTATTAAACAAGAAGTGCTTTAAAAACAAAAATAAAATAAAGGCCCAGCTCCCAGAGTTCCTGAGGGAGCTGCTTTGTTCAGAGCAGCGGGATCCTGGGCATGAGGAGGAGAACAGGACTCAACCTGTCGGCACAAACACCGGGGGCTCGGCTCCCACAGTGCCTGACCAGAGCAGGCAAGCATGAGCACGGCACCAGCCCGGCAATCCTGGTGAGGAAGGGCGGAGGCCTGGCATGGGGGTCCTCGGGCCTGTGGGTGAGACAGACCGTGGGGACTGAGAGAGGTAGGATGGATGGGGGCGGAGGGGAGCGGGGACGGGGCGCCAGAAGGAACAACCGAGGAGTGTTTGATCTGCATCTGTCCTTTTTCTCTGCAGCAGCAGTGAGGAGAGCCCCAGGAAGGACACAGAGCCATGCAACAGCCCCTGTGCCCCAGAACTGAGGGGCAGTGGCAGGGCCGCCTCTCCCCCAGAACTCTGCGTGTTGGGCCACGGGCTGCAACGGGAGGCCAGAACCAGCCGCGCCCAGGACAAGCCTCAACAGAAGGAAGTAGCCTGACAGGCCAACCAACAGGGTCACACGGATGCCAGTCACCCCAGAAGGCGATGGGTGACAGCCAAGCACCAGACTGTCCCCTAGAGGGTGGGTCAACCAAACTCCTACTCCTAGAAAGATCCGGAAGGTGCACTGCCCCGAGAGTCTGCTAAATTCTAAACCTTTGCCATTTTCAGGCCCAGAGTCTGGTTTGCCTTGGGGTACAAAGGCTAACTATAACTTTGGACCCCCCAGTGACACTCTTTAATCCTTCGAGTACTGGCCTTAATGTAGGGGAAAATGCATTTGTCGAATGCTTGATGAGCTGGGGGGTTTTACCTGGGTTGGTTTCCTGGACTCAATTAATCCGCACAACGAAGAATGAAGCAGATAGCATTCTCCGGGTTTTGCAGATAAGAAAACCAAAGTGCCCCTTCCCCCAAGCCCGAAAGAGTCTTGCCTGAGGTCACACAGCTAGGAAGAGAACAGAGCAAAAATTCCAACAGGTGTGGCTGGCCCCAGAATCCCTTGTTTCTCGTTCCAGTCTCGCTCCATCTGCCTAAAGCAAACCTAGTCTACAAATGGTTGGAAAGCCTTGTGGTTTTTTTTAAGGTTAAATAGTGTCACTGCATTCAAGTCACCGTTGAGAGCTTTGTTTAGAAGCTGACTGCTCCAGAGATGGGAAGACTGACGTGGAATTAAGACACACACCCTCCTTCCTCTCCTCCCTCCCAAGCACAGACCCAAAGCCCTCAACACCAAGCTTCCAGCCCACTCCTGCGGCTGAGCGGCCTCGGATTGTGTCTCAGAGGCAGGCGTGTCTCGGATGCTCTGCCCCACGCATCCACATGCCTCTCAAACTGGGTGGGTGCAACCAAGCCTTGCAAACAAGCAGCCTATTCTCCACGCCCCGCAGGGGCTGGAGCTCAGGAGGATGTGCACACACGCACGTACACGCAGGCACACAAACACTCGTGCGCCTGCCAGTCTCCCCCAGGGGCTTCTCGGCCAACTTTATTCCCAAGTCATCCGCACAACTTCTGCCGAGGTTAAAATGGAAGTGAAGAACTACCGTGCATGCCAATGCGCTAGATATTAGCTGCAGATCTTGGAATGTTTCCATGGGTGGCTGCGGAGTGCTTTCTATTTAGAAATGAATTTGCAATAATTCGGTGATTCAGTGGCGGCTCAGTGGGTTGTCAAAAGACAAGAATTCTCACCCACGGGGTACAGCTAAGGGGGTCATTCTGCAGATCTGCTGCAAAGCTGATTTTTTTTTAAGTTTGGGAAAATTATGACTTCAAGTCCTTTCTTGTTGAAATACACCATGGCTCAAGGACGTGTTATGCTGGGTCCTGGGGATTACAGCTACCTGTAAATGAATTCACCTTGACTTGTCCAGTTATTAAAATAGGGGTGACCAGGCTGATCTCTTCAAAGGCACCCAAGGAATAGTTGGTTAAACTACCAGGAGGGGCCACACGGCACCCCTCGGTTGGGAAATGTCTGTCCACACCCACATGGTTGCTGTGGGGTTGCGCTGTCAGAGCAGAGCTCGGGCACAGCAGGGTGGGTTCTGGGCCGAGCCCCACGCAGGGGTGAGTGGGTGGACCTGGGAGAACCGCCTGGGCCCCAGGAAGTGGGAGGAAGTCCAGCTCCCGGGGCAGGGCAGGGCTGAGGTAAGTGCGTGAGAACAGCCAGGTTTAGGAAGCTTGCTCGCTACAGAACTGGCCAGTCTGCCTACCTGGGCAGGCCAGCTGCCTAAGGGTGACGAGGGTGTGTGCCGAAGGGTGACGAGGGTGTGGGCAGGCTGGGCACCGAGCCGAGGGGAAGCAAGCAGGCCAGGAGAGGCGGCTCATGGCTGAGCAGCTTCAGGGAAGGCTGTCGGAAAGCAGACAGGGTTTAGGGGCAGACTTCCTGAGGTCTGAAGCTGAGACCCGGGCTAGGGTGTAGGGGCCCTGGGCTAGGGTTTAGGGGCAGACTTCCAGAGGTTGGAAGAAACACAGCAGAAACAGAGAAACAATGGGAGGCTGGACAGGGCCACCATTCATGAAATAGTGAGACAACATGGGGGTGTAACCACAGAGACAATAAAAGGTCTAGCTCTGGGAACCAGGATAGGAAGGGGGAGCCAGATCTGTAGGAGGCAGAAGTGAGGCCAAGCTCCCCGTTAAAGGGCCCCCTCTTAGAGGTTTGGGGCTAGTGTGAGTCTGTAGGTGGGGGCCAAGTGCACCCAGTTGCAGCAACAAAAGCTCGGTGTGGGTGGCTGGGAGCCAGGCAGCCTATTACCTCCCAGAAGGGTCAGCATCAGGGAGAATGCCCTGGAAGAGTCTGGAACGAGCCTCCCTGAGGGTGCCTGGCAGGAGGCTCTCTTGAGAGCAGAAATCACCCCCTCCCCCGAGCTAGGCCTCTAAGCAGCAGTGGGCACCCACCGTCCCCACGCTGCAGACAGCAGTGGATGAACACAGGGCTTCCAGGGTCCCTGCGTCAGCCCCGGGGCAGGTCAGGGCTCCTCCTTATCCCTCTGCATTTACCGAGCACCTACTTGTGCCAGGAGAGTGCTGGGCTCCTGCCACAGAGCCCCGTACATGATGCAGTAAGGGACCTCTAGGCCCAAGCAGCCAGGACAATGAGCTGATAGAGACTATCATGTTGGCCAAGGACCCCACTGCTTCAAGAGCCCCAAGTCAGCTTCCCCTGGGGTAAAGCGGAGGGGTCGCCAAAGCCAAGGGGCTGGGAGGCAATAAAGGTCACAGGTGAAGCAGGGCCCAGCCAGCACTGGAGCAGATGGTTCACAGATGTGGTTTCCTGGCTACCATCCCAACCACCAGACTTAGCCCAAATCACGGGTGAGTTGGACATTGGACAAAAGAAATTAAATGTACTACAACAGGCAACTTGTGGGGCTTCCACTCGGTTTCACCCCTCCTTGAGACCAGGCCTTTACTGGAACCCACGGCTCTGGTTCTGCCTCGGAAAGCACACTGCTGGTGGTCACGAGGGACAAGCCCAATCCCACAACTTCTCAGATGGGTCACTCTCACCCACCCACCTTCCCTCCACCCAAGAACTTGTCCTTGCTGAGCCCAATCCACTTCCTGGGCTCCAAGGAGAAGGGAGAGCAGGGCTTCAGTTTTGTCTTGTCTTTTTAAAATAATGACACCAATAGATGCAACCCACTAAGGACTCAGGAGTCTGCACTTTTCCTTCCCAAAGTTAGAAACCAAGAAGGAATGTTGGGTATAAAGGCACAAGAGAGCTCACCCCAGAAAAGGAGATCAATTTCAGAGGTGCATATTCTACCCATATTCCTGTTTGGGCCAACTCTTTTCCAGGGGTGTCCAGCCATTGTCAACACCCACGGAGACCCCCAGAGCTGAGGAGAGGGAGGTGCTCCAGCTCTTTATCTAACACATTAGTGACATAGCATATAGCTGTGCCCCAAGGGAAAAACACAATTTTCCAGTTCCATCAAAAGGATTCATGGAGGAAGAAAGCAGAGGTAATATTCTGGTGGAACAGTGATAGCTTTTTGCAAGGATGAATACAATCTTCAAGACGAAATATAACTTCTGTCCACAGCCTGGATCTGTGCGGCTGTTCACTCTGAGCAGCATCTAGTTCTTTCCTTACACCATGTACCCAGTTCAGAACCTGAAATAATCCATGTTGATAGAAAATGCAGGGCAGACGAAGAGACTTTTCTTTCACTGTGAAAAGCTTTTGTTTGATAAAGCTTGTCTCATCAACACTGCAACATAAATGAAAGGGGTTTTGAGAAATACATTCTTTTTTCTGAAATAAACCAGTGTTTTGCATGTATCAGGGGAGTTGATGCAGTAAATTTTAAGTGTCAACATGTTTGTCAATTGATCATTTGGTTGACTGCTTACAGGCTGCCCACACCCACTGCATCTTCCCAAGGAAAGCTTTGCAAAGGTAATATATTTTTAAGTAGCCTCACGTCAGAGATTCTGTTGAACTGCCATAAAGTAAATGTGTTCTGGGCCTATATTAACAGAACATGTTATACTGCACTGTGGTTTACTCCCTGTGCCTACCTGAAGTTTAAATAAACTTCCATCAATCCATCCCGACATTTTTATGAAATGTAATTAAAGATGAGTTGCACACACAGAGGAGCAAGCGGTTGATTCACTCCACAGTCTAATTCACTCTTATGGAGGACCCTGGACACTGCTGGCTTGATTACTCTCATGGGCTTCAGAAAGTAACTTGACCGATAGCCTGTGGGCCCTGTGACTACAGAATTCCACCCATGTCATAGCCCGGGCCCTGAATGCTGTAATTCCAGACACCCTTGACGTCTCGCACACGGGTCGACAACCTGTTTTGGCTGGAATGGCCGCCCCAGCAGGAATCAGGTAATGCCCCGAGACAAGCCTGGTGGGCCTGAGTCCGAGGAAGAAGATGAATGGAGAAACAAGGAGAAGGAAGAGAAAGAAGGAGGGCATGGTGAATGTGTCGGTCACCCTGGGGAGCTGGAGTCTATCCCACTCGCGATGGGTGGGACCCAGAAGCCTAAGCCCCACACCTCCATCACCCCCGCCCCGCGACCCGGCTTCTACGGGCCTGTTCCTTCATCTGGAAAGCTGCAAAGTCAATGCCGACCTCCATACCCTGCCATCTGCAAGACACAGGCAAACTCGCTTCTTCCAAACCATCTTTTTTGAGCCCTCTGGAAGAACTGAACTGACGATCCCTCTCCCACTTTTGTTTGTAACGTTCATCTCTGCCATCTCTGCACTTCAACATTCTGATCAAGAAAAGAAAGTAGGGTATCCCCCTCCTTCCAGAGCTGTGCTTTGATTCTTGGAGAAAATGAAGAATAGCTGTCAAACTCAGCTAGAATTGACTTCCTTCTCCATAGGATTCCATATCTTTCAAAGTGAAAAGACTTTAAAACATTTTGCTTGCCATCATGACTACAAATGTCAACTATTCCAAACGGGGGGAAAAAAAAATTAAGCTTCAGAATCTCCCACTTATTCCCATGCTGAGTCGTGGGTGATCTGTCGTCAGTCAGATGCCAGGAATGACTTCAGTGCCTCCTGAACAGCAGGTCTTATTGGGCTGAGGCTGGAGTTTATAATAATTATACCTTTTCTTTGTGTGTAACACTCTACATTTTCAAAATATGATTATCTACAGTGTTTTATTAGTTTTTTTTTTTTAATCGCATGAGATGAAAAGCAAGTCTTTTTTTCAACACCTTTGACAAATGAAAAAAAGGAGGCTGGGGTATGTCAAAGACACTTGGCCAGCAAGTGGGGCTCCCCAGCTCCTGCCCAGCCTTGGTTCTAACACTGACTGCCAGCAGGAGTGAGGTTATTCCAAAGGACACCACAACCTTCCATGGAAGAAATGCTCAGTTTTCTCCAACATTGACAAATAGAAAATTGTTTTTCAGATCCAGCCAAAGGCCAGCTGTAATTTTAGCCATTCTTCTGCAACTAGCTTGGATGGAAATTCAAAACAAAATTTCCAAGAGAATAATTTTCTATAATCACCTCTACGCACCTCTGCCACTCCCCGTCCCTCCCCTGCACACACATATAAAACTGCCCCCGGCATTAAGAAAAAAAAGAAATCTTTTCCAAAAAAAAGTCTTTGTTCCTTGTTGCCATGAACCCCAAAGTGGGCTTCCAGGTGAACCCACCCCCCCACCGCAGGCTGGAACAGACAACACTCCAGGAGACAGCTCTCTCACTTTATTGCCAGTGCCCCAAAGTAGTAAAAACCAGCAGATGAGACAGAAAGGAAATATAGACCCTGGGAAACAAATTGCCTTCATGAAAATTATCTATCTTTTTTTTTTTTTTTCTCCTTTGGAAGGGGACAGGATTGGCTGTGTTTACAAAACCCCACCCCAGGGCCTTGGGAGGGTGGGGGCCTGACTGGCTGCACCGGGAGACATAGGCAAGATGAAAAAGTGGCTTTCTCAGCCAGGGGTGCCCATGAACTTGGAAATATGTGAGTTGATTTGGGGCTCCCCAGCCTGCTCTGGGCCATCCTCCTCAGGAGAGGCTCACAACAGTGATGTGGAACTGATATTATACCTAGGGGTGGGCGACAGTGGAGGGGGTCCACTGGTGGGGTCTGCCAGAAAACTGGCTGGCAGCGTGCTGGGGTCTGAGGGCCTGAGCCATGTGGATCTGCCCCAGAGCATTGCTATGGGTCTGGCTGTGTTCCTTGGCTGGGACCAGGCCGCTGCCCCTCAGCCTTCACCTTCCCCGTGTGTTTGAGGTCATGATCCGAGCTCTAATTCTTCCTGGTCACACCGTTGTCAACTTAACTGGCCCCAGACAAGGCAAAGCCACTCCTACTGTGTCCAGAGCCGCAGCCCCAGACCTCCCTCTCTTCCCGCAGGACCCCATTTCTCCTGCTGCTGCATCCGTGGGCAACACCTTCTCTCAGCTTGCTCGTGTTCTGGCACATGCTGCATCCAGCGCACCCCTCCAGCTTCGCGACCCAGCCTAAGTGTGGGGGGGGGGGGGCAGCTGTGCAATTTCAGAGTTCCCACATGACCCCTGCATGTCCACCACGTGCTTTCATGGATGGTATTTCAAGTGTGAAGCATCATCTAGTCCTCTGTAGAACTAGCCAGAATGTCGGCTTCCAGGGAAGGCTTTCAGGAATGCAAATGTCAAACTCTCCCTCGGAAGATTTTGTTAAGGCAGAAGCAGGATAACCCCAGAGAGGGTTGTTCTACTCACCTCGAATCAGCCTTATAACAACTGAACTGGATTTGAATGGCCAACTCAGGGTCTCTGGGTTGCGGAGGGCTGCCCAGCCTCTCACAGATGGGGGGCCGTGCCCAGACATGGTCTACACCATGTGGGTCTGTGCTACACTCTTCCTCCTTGACTCTTCATCCCCGTGCCATCTGTGGCTGGTTTTGTGTTGTCTTGTGTCCTTTGTGACAACCCTAGTTATTAAAAAATTCTCAGGTTAAAAAAGTACAAGACCTTAGAAAAATAAGTACTTCTTTTATTTCTACTTCAAAATATACTATGTACATCTGGAACTCTAAGAGAAAGTAGACCTGGAGATGACTCCATCATAAAAATAAAATAAAGTAAGAAATAACGACTGCCCGCTTCAGGTCTGTCTCTCAGCCGGTTGAAAGGGGCGTGAGCTGCCCGTTGTCTTGCTGTCCGATGCCATCCCTCTGTCGGTGACGTTGGTTGGGGCTGCCTCACGGGGATGCTGCGTCTAGGAGGTCCTGGAGCATTCTGAGGACCTGCCGTGGCTGGCCAGCAGCCAGGTCCTGCAGCCGGGAGCCCATGTGCTCCTGGAGGCTTCTGGACAGCCGACGCGCCACTGTGCGGACGTTCCCGCCGTGCCCGGGCAGGACACTGTTCCCAGTCATGTTGCCCAGGAAACACCAGAGGACTGGAAGGACATGGCGCTCCACGGCCTGGGGCTTCTGGGGGTACACGGAGGCCACCAGCGCTGTTGGACAGAAAACGGGGAGACTGACTTGAGGCAGGCACTCTCTCCCTCTCTTGCTGCCCTCTCTTGGGACAACAACTCTATCCCCCGCAAAGGGCAGGCGGCCCAGAAGGGCCAACTAGTCCATTAGATGCACCAGCTAAGGCTCGGGACACATTTAGGGGCCCATGAAAATGGCTTGATTTCTTTTAAAATCAAAAGAAAAAAACATGAAGATATCCAACCTCATTTATATTCATGTTTATACCAGCCAGTTATAAAATACAATTTTTAACTTTTTTTTTTAATGGAGGAATGAGTATGCAAAGGCAAAAGTACTCAGAGCCTATGATGGTCGTAATTGGTCCCTGCAGCCCCGGGGAGAGGAAAGACGCAGATATACCTGGACTGCAATCTAGTATTACTTTAATCCACATTCCCACCTCTCTGAGTTCATACAACAGAGAAAAACCATACCAGGGAGAAAAGTCAACACTCTCTCAAATGAAGTATTCTGAAAAATAAAGCAGCCAGCAGGAGATAAGACCAGTGTGGCCTCCCCAGTGTCTGGATGCCAAACCCCACAACAAGACCAGCAGTAATCCAGACGGCGTCAATGTGCTTTGTCAACCATCAAGCTCTGCACAGACCCTTGATTCAGTGATGAACCCCCCGCATCTGGTTCTCCAAGGCCCTCTACTTTCTTTGGTCCCCAAAAAACACACAAGCAGGCTACCCCTGCCAGCAAACCTTCCATTCCAGAGTAAATGCCGGGGTCAAAGCCACCTCAAGAGCACCCTAAGTCACTTCACAGGGGCCCCTCCAGCCTTCAGCCGAGGCCACATTACCCTGAGGGCATCCATGTTAACAATGCTTTTTCTATACAATCAGTGCAGTCTGCCCGTCCTCCTGCCAAAGGAAAAGTGCTGGTGAGAGCAAAGGACCTTCACTTATTGATGGAGCAAAGAAACTGGAACGTTCCCTGGGCTGAAACACACCTGGGAAACTAACATTGCCCGAGTCCAGAGTCTGGGGCTCAGAGTTCTGCAGCGTGACTCCATTGTCCTCGTAGTGCTTCGAGAAGCAGGACACCGGTCCATCTCGCAGAGGGGGAAGCCAGCACTCAGGGGTCAAGGAGCTTGCCCCAGACCACACAGCTAACGAGGGCAAGAGCCTGCCTCGACTCCAAAGCTCACGCTGTGCACCCCTCGATGACCCCAAGTCTCTAGGGGTTCCACATGTCAGGGGCTGGTGTGGAGTTTTATTTTTAATCTCCAATTTGTCCTTCCTTCACCAGCGTAACATCATCCAACCCCCCAGGATGTTTCCCACAGGGCCCCTCGGACTCCAGGGCCAGAGCCTGGGACAATAGGGGCTCAGAGATGAGCTGGACCCCCCTCAGCAAAGCCTGCCACTGGAGCAGTGTCATTTCCCATGGAGCGTGTATGCTGGCTTTCAAGCCACACCCTCGGGGTTCCTGCACCCCACCCTGTGGGGCCTCCCCGGGGGCTCCCCAGTGTCACCGAAGCCTCAGAAGTAAAGGTGGCCCTCGTTCCCGGGGAAGGCAGGACTGCACCTAGTGAGTCAGCCCAGCCATGTTGGCTGGTGAGCAGCTTCATAAAGTGGGACAGAGGCGGGACCTGCTAGAAACGCTGAAGCTGGAGACAGGCTCAGAGGAGGGCATAGGTACCAGGAAAGCCACCAGGGCAGCCCCAAGGTGGGAAGCTAGGAGGAGCAAGGGAGAGGTCAGGGGGTGGGGGGTGGCCAGAGGGAACAAAAGAAAACCAGTGATCCCGATTAGCCACCTATGCTGAACAATTATAACTCAAAGGCTTCCTAAGGCTCCATGGGATCCACCTGCAAACCAATGTGAGAACTATCCCAAGTACCAGGCCCAGGCAGGGCTCCCCCGTGCCCACCAAAGGGTGAGGGGTTCACCTGCCCCTCACCCGCCCCACCTCAGCGGCCCCCATCCCCGGCACGCCACACTCCCACCTGAACTCTCCCTCCCAGCAGTCGGGGGATCACACGCGGGCCCGGGAAGCTCACTTCTACAGTGAGGCCCACATTCCCCGGGTCCGGGAGGCGGAGGTCACCTGGCTGACGGCGGTGGGCCTCTCAAGTTAGCAAAGGCAGGCGGTGGCCCTTCTGGGAGTCATCATGAGGAAGAAAACCCCATTCAATTGGAGCTTACAAGGCAGCTGAAGTAATTAGCAAAAGATCTACTCCTGTTAAGCTGTGCTATTTTTAGTCCACACCTTGTGTCAACTGAGATGTTCTTCTCTGCTCCTGGCTGACACCGACCTACCAGCACAGCTATGCAGAAACTCTTGGCTTTGAGGTCTCTTGGAAGCAGGTAGAAAATATGTACATTTAAATGGATAATCTAAAGTGAGGTACCCATCCACCTCTGGGGCCCATATGTCACCTGTACAAGGACAGGTAAGGGTTTCAACCAGAGAACACAGATTTTGAGCAACAGAAAAGGGTTCCTTGTAGGGTGGCCAGGTGGTCTCCATTACATGGCCCCTGGGCACCAAGAGCGTGACACTGTGGCCCCCAACCCTACTTTGCTTGCCCCGAAGTTTGGAGAAGGCCTGGCACCTGGATGGGAGGTGAGGGTCCACTCCAGGGACACTGGGAGGACTGAACCAGGGCACAGAGGCAAGGCCAAGGGCAAGAGATAGGGTGGTGTAGGCACAGAATGACACCCTCAGTCAGGCAACATGTGCTGAGCACCCCAATGCGGACCGGGGCTGGCACAGGGTGGGACCTGCTCTTGGGAGGCTCGGGAAACTCAGGCAGGAGGGCTAGAGAGAAAGGAGACCCAGAGGCCGGCACCAGAACCGGGCGGGCACCACCCAGGTGGAGGAAGAAGGGCAGAAAGGGGCTCCACAGGCCACCAGCCGCATGTGGGCAGGCACAGGGAATGAGAGATCTGTCTCTGCAGGGTGGCTGGCGTGCTGGTGCCCAGGGGACAGAGGCATGGGCCGCTCAGGGAGGCTCTGTGGCCAGGCTCCCAGGGACAAATCCTGGATTTCTCGGCAAAGGACCTTGGGCACCTAACCTTTCTAAGCTCCAGTTTCCTTATTTCTGTAAAAGGGATAATCACTGGGGCGCCTGGGTGGCTCTGTCAGCTAAGCATCTGCCTTCGGCTCAGGTCATGATCTCAGGGTCCTGGGATGGAGCCCCGCATCGGGCTCCCTGCTCAGCGGGGAGTCTGCTTCTCCCTCTGCCCCTCCCCCGGCTCATGCTCTCACTCTTTCTCTCTCTCGCAAATAAATATATAAAATCTTTTTTTTTTTTTTAAAGGGGATAATCATGGAACCCACGCCCTCCTTATGATGTTATGAGGATTAAATGATCCAGTGCATACAACTGAGGCGGGGGAAGGGGCAGAGCCTGGAAGGCCAGGCAGTGACAGGCCTCATGGGCCACTCCAGGGAGCCAGACACTAGCCTGAGGACAACCCATGCGAGGATTTACGCATGGGGGTAGCACCTGCACGCTGTCTGCATGTTAGGGGGAAGGGTGCTCAGAGGTCTAGAGAACAGAGTCCTTCTGCCTCCTTCCTGCATGGGACGTTCCTAAGAAGGGAGAGGAGGCTTCCGGCAAGCACAAAAGATGAGAAAACCAAGTAACCTGCCCAAGACCAGAATTGGCGTGTGGCAAATGGGTCTGTCTGCCACAAAGCCTGTGTCCTTTCCATGCTGCCAGCTCAAGGGCCACAGGAGGTTTCAGCCCTGGAATGAAATCACTCGAGACTGCAGACTCAGAGCAGACATCGGCTTGGAGCAAGCTCTCCTCAGCCAAAGCCTGAACAAAGCAGAGCAGACTCAGGCCAAACTCTGCGTAACATGGGCCCGGATGCCCAGCGAAGGGGTTGAGTAGGGTTGGCATCCAGGCTGTGCTCTGCTTTGCAGGCTGTGCATGCCCAAGAAGGGACAGTTCTCATGCTCACCACAGGGCTGCTGCTGACCGAGCCCCACGCCCGTGAGCGAGGGTCTACCCAGAAGAGCTGGGGGTTTTTCTGATTCACACAAAGGTACCCTATGGGCTAGGGGAAGTCCTGTTTGCAAAGAAGAAATGCATCATCATTTCTTAAAAACTACTTTGTGTATGTACCAACCTGCCTCATTTTGGTCAAAACCAAAGATTATCTTTTGGTAATGTGGGAATTATTTTTAAAAAGCAGATTATCAAAACTTTTCTAAAAGCCCTGTGAGGATTATTGGATTATTTGGGGGTTCTAAGATAGTGGGTGGTTCATGCCAGGAAGCTGACTGGAAGGCTGGAGCGAGGGGCTCCGAGGATGCTCACCGGACAGACGTTCCGTGACCTCAAGCACCGCGCGGCCCCTCAGGAAACGCACCCGCCCAGCAAACGCTTGTAGGAGGCAGAGGTTGTCTGGAAGAGAAGGAGGGTGTCAGCAGCCAGGATGTCGTGGCCCAAGCGATGGCACTCGCTGTTCAGTGCCAAGTACCTGCAACACCTACACAGGGAAGGAGGCCCGTCGGGGAGCTGAATTAAATTCTCTGAGTCACAATGGGGTGTTTGGGGAAGAGTGAGTGGCCTGATACGGTTACACTGGCTCCCAAACAGGTTTCACTTACTCCCATAGGTCTGGTTCCTATTGTCTGTCCTTCTTCAAAATTGCTGAGTTTGGGGGCAAAAGAGGGTTTGCTCACGGTCCTGGGCAAACCAGGAGGGCTGGTCACCCTACCAGCAGCAGAAGCTTCTGGCTGGCTCTATTTGGGTTGGGGGAGGGAATTCGCAGGGGGCGTGTATTAGCTCTCAATAGTTTATATATAACCTCCCTGTGTGAGACTTGGGCCCAGACGGCATACTTGTGAAGACCAGAGAGTTTGTCCTCCACATGCCCCGACCCACTCTTCAGGAGGGTTAGGGGAAAGAGGGATTTTTAATCTTTTTTTTCCGATTGTCCCAGCACCCTGACACCCACTGGGCTCTCAGCCACACCCGGCCTCAGGAGACAGCTCTCCCTGCTGTCTAGCCAGGCTGGTGGTGGGGCCCGAGGCCTGGGAGCTCCCCCATTTGGATGCTGATGGAGTGTTTATTAGAATGAACCATGGATGGTGAAATCACAGGCAACTAGGGTGGGGAATGTTTGGGGTTAAAGAAGCCCTCTGGCATTCTTCGGTTGTATTTCTAAAGCCAACTCCAGCAGGATCCCATAGGTGCTGAATCTAGAAACGGCTCATTCTTCCCCATTCTGGCCGACGTCTCCTGGTTTCTCAAACTATTACTCTTGAAGTCCTGCGTTCCTCACAGAGACACACAAGGTGAGCAAAGCAGCCCTTTACCTGAGAAAGGCGTGCTCACGTAGACGATACACACCCAGCCCCCAATGCTGCCCCAGCCGTCCCCGCAAAACTCCATGGGACGGAACGCAAATCACAAAACCACTTTTCGGGGGGTGTGGTCACGGGGCCTGCCTGCACCTGTCATGGGTGTTACCGCAGGTGCCCCCAGAAAGTGTGTCCTGGGGTCCCAGGGGCTGACCCGCTCAAGACCAGATGTCTCTCAGCAGGGACAGAGATTAGAGAACCACCTAAGGAAGTCTTCCCAGGCAAGTTCCACCTTCTCTGGATCCCTCAAATACCTCAGCATCCCCCTGGATATGCAATCAAAACTTCGCTTTTCCCACCAGGCAACTATCCTAGCTAAGAGCTCATCCCTGCTTCCCTTGCTCCCCTCCTGGGAGCTGTAAGGGATACAGAGGAGAAAATGTACACATGTACATCACATACATCCCTGCCGCTTGCAAAAGCGCCATCCATAGGTTAGGCAAGAGTCTTTAAAATAATTTGTTCTGGGAAATAAAAGAGAGGCCCGCCTCTAGAATATTGCAGTTAGCAAGAAGTGGTCTCAGGGTGTCTTGGTAAATCTGTAATTGTGTAAGACTAGGTCTTTATATCAATGTCACCTGCATTATTGTTTCCAGGTGCTTCTATTTGTCCCACGCCCATCATTAGCCATGAGCTCACCTCCAAAGACAAGGACTTCCGCCTCCTTGCTCTCCCCAACAACACTCAGTCCAGGACATTTTCTGGACACAGCTGGATCTCCCCGCTCCTGGTGGCTGACGTGGCCTCCCAGAGCCAGAGAGAGGTGAAGAACTTGGGGGATACTTGAAAATGCACATCCAGCAGACATCTGTGCCAGATCATGCTCCCATGTCCCTGGCACATGACAGGTGCTCAGTAAATGCTCCAGGACCACAGGGAGTGTTAAAGCAGAGACATTAAGCATTCCCGAGCTGGTTCATAAACCCCAGAGCTCCGAACCCCAAGTAGCTGGCCCCTCTCCCGCTGTCCGCTCTCGGAGCGCTGGCTCACCTTCCAGGTCACACCCAGGCTGACTGAGCGGCGGGAAGGTACACGGTGAGGGGTGTGGGCTCTGAGTCCAGGTCACCTGGGCTGAAACCTTGGCTCTTCCACGTTTCTCTGTGTTGACATTGGACAGAACCTCCTACACCTCAGCTTCCCCATCTATAAAAAGTCGATAATACTCATGTCTTCCTCTTAGAGCTGCTCTCATGTTATGATGCTTTTAGGATAGTGCCCTGAGTGTGTAATTACTATGTAAGTGTCAGTTATCATTGCTACTGTTTACTATCATTGCCCCAAAATGCTCCAAAAGCCCAGCAACCTGACTAGTGGAAAGACCATTAAGAGGCTGGAATCTAACTTCTGAAACCTTAAAGATCCATGCTCCGTTAGCCCGAGTTTTTCATGGGCCCCTCTGCTATGTTACAAGGAAACCATCGTGGCAAGAGTGGTTTGTGAAAACTCAGCGTTCCTCTGGTCTGGGCCTCGGTGCTGCCCACACAGGGCGAGCAAACAGCCATGGCTGGCAGGCCACACACCTGTCCTCCCTGGGCCTTGCCTTCCCTCTCTGCTAGGGGGCAGAGGTCTATGGGGCCTCGCACCTGCCCCATGCAGCCAAGCCCTACAGCCACCAGGCCACGTCATCCTCAGGCTCCTGGAAAGCCAGAGAAGAACTGTTTTAAAAGCATAAAAATTATGGTAGCATGGATAGTGACAGCAAAGAAACTGGGGTCCAAGTGGACCCCCGACGATAAGCACAGGACTCTGTGAATCATATGTCACAGCCTCCAAAACTAGGTCCACTCATCGCAGGAAAAGTGGGAACGATCCATTTAAACAGAAAAATGCAAGCTATGGTCTAGGCATGGGACAGAGCTGTTAAAAGTGACTCAAGTGTGTAATCATATGTAAATGCTTGCGCTCTGCTTTTTTTTAAAAGCAGGAGGCAAATTTAAATGCGTAATATCATCATGACTCGACACAAATAGGCACAGAAAAAAATATCTGAAATGAAAAGTGCCAAATGTTAATAATGGTCTCTTCCAGAAGTTGAGACTGAAAATGAGGGGCTTTCAAATTTTTCCTTCCCAATGCTTTGTATTTTCCATTTTCTCAATAATGAACAAGTATGACTTCTACGTGGTGGAAAGTAAACTTTATATTTTTAAGCTAAGTAGGAAGGCTGCATGGTACCATGAAAAACTGGTTAGTTAAACGAAAGAAGCAAAGTCTAAATTGTATTTACATTACAATCTTTAACCAGGGAAATGTGTACACATGTAGACAAGAAAGAGAAGAGAGATTTTTAAGCAGCTGGTACACTAGAGGGGCACCATGGATGAATTTCTAAATTCCCTGAACAATACCATGTTGGTCATATGATTTGTATAAGGTAATGAATTTAGAGTCAACAGAGCAAAATAGCAAAAGTAGATCTGAAGCTGCCCATTTCGGAGCTTATCTGCTCTCTCCAGCACTGGCTGGGGGCTGCGCTAAATTAAGAGAACTCCTTTTGACGCTCAGTCTGACCAGGAGGGAGTGGGCTGTCAGCAGCCTGATGTTTTAATTAGTGAAGTTTCTTCTATAGCTAACCTGGTAACAGGGCCGAAAGACAGAACCAGCCAGTCTGCTCAGGACCTGCCTTGATCCCCAGAATAACTCCCCTGAAATCAGAAGGTCCTGGTGCTAAGTAGAAAGGATGCTTCTCCAGGCTCCTTTCTGGAGAGGTCCCCAGGCAGGCAGTGACGAAGGGCAGAGGTCAGGGAGCAAGGTGCCCACGTGCCTCCTTCCTCACCACCTCCAAAAAAGGGGACATGGGCATAAATCCCTACCTGCTCTGTCGACCACCATACCACCCACCCCATACACCCTCAGGAAGACCAAGGAACTGGAAGAGATTGGGTGGCTGATGAGTCAACTTATCACTGAATTTCAAGAGGGACCCTAAGAGGTTGCCTAAGAAAGCCAACCTCCCAATTTGGCTGTGCCATCTGGACTTTGTGCCAGAAGATGGACTCCTCCGGCTGTGTTCTTGGTCCCCATGGCCCCCATTGAGTGGGGAACAAATCATAATATGCTGAGCCATTCCTTTGTGACTCTCCACATTTAAGTATTTCACAGCATTTCATGGTTCCTCTCCAGCCTGCAGGCTGGATCCCTTGAGGGGGATGACACTAGGCTTGGGAGAAAGCTCCCTCTGCTCAAAGGGCCTCGGGATGCTGAGGGTGGACTGGAGCCACCAGGATGAAATGGGAAGGAAGATTTACACCCCTTCCCTTCTGCCACTCCTGCTCCAGTCTCTGCTTCTACCACCCAATCCCCTGGGACAGTGGGAAATTTAGTGACTTGCATCCATTTTTCCTTCCGCAGGTCAGACTCAGACCATTCTAGGCAGATGAGAACCATTCCCAGAGAGAGCTTGATTCTACCCTAGGTACTCACTCCCTGGCAGTGATGAATTCTTACTGGCGATCTACACCCCTCCACTTCTGCCCTTCATAGATATAGAAATCAGCTAGTCACTTCATCATTAAAAACACTTTCAGGGGCACCTGGGTGGCTCAGTCGGCTAAGTGTCTGCCTTTGGCTTAGGTCATGATCCCAGGGTCCTCAGAGCTCCCTGGTGCTCAGTGGGGAGTCTGCTTCTCCCTCTCCCTCTGTCATCCCCCCCCCCCCGCAACATACACACTCATGCTCTCTCTC